AAAAAAAAAAAAGACCTTGAGGAAGTTGTTTTCTTCTCTGGGATTAGTACCTCTCTGGTAATTTTACAACCAAGCTTCCATGTAGCCTCTCTACTCTCTGTAATTCCTTGAAATGTTTGAGTAAGGCTCTTCCTCTGATGAAAAAATGGCTAGACGAGCAAAAAGTGATTTTCAATCTTGAAGTAAACAAATGAATTCAGAAAAAGCAGGGTGGTAGAGATCACCAATGACCTTGCATGCATATAAGCATAACCAATGGACACAGAAAATAGAGGGGTAAAGGCCTAGGCTCTGGGGTGGGACAACCTGGGAGAGTTCAATGGGGGAAAAGGGGGGCATGTAATACTTTCAACAATAAAAATTTTTTAAAAATTGTTTTCCCAATTCAGAGTTTAGCAGATAGGAAAATAAAGTTGTGTTTTCATATCATTTTCTTCATTTTACTTAATAATGTACTTTCTCTTTTTCTCCTCTTACTTCATTTACCAGTAACCCAAGGGTTAAAAAAGGTGAAAAAACTCTAATTTCTTTCGACAGTCATAGTGCCTCAGGTATTATTACCATGATTTCATGATAGAGATCCTCATCTCCATTTTTGTTTTGAGGAAACTGACATTTCAAAAAATTAAGCCACCTGTCTAGGTTACTTAATTGAAATAACTGAAAAAGCACATAATTTAAACATTTCAAAGTCTAAACTTTTTCTAAAGTTACACACTTTTAATGTTAAGAGTACTGATAGTTTCCTTCATTCAGAATCACTCTTATAACCTTCCTGAGCAAGCCTCAGATACTGTCATGCAAGAGATTCCTATCCACCAAACTGCTCCATCAGGGAGAAGAATCTAGGAGAGATAGGAATGAATAAAGATAAACTAATCTGTCACCTTTGATTAGTATTTTTTATTGTTTTCTAATTTAGGTTTTCTGGGATGTATTTTGGTTTGAATCTTCTTGTTTAAATTTTAGCATCACTGACTGAAACTGTTGCATTGACTACTTCAAGGTTATTTTATAGAATCACAAACTCTTTTGAAGAAATATATTTTACTACATAAATTAAAAAAGAACAACAGTATTATTTTGTAATACTTATTGTGCTATTAATACTCCATTCAGATCAAAATATGATAACTTTAGGCTTAAATGCAGTTGTCTTTCCTACATTCAATTGGGCAGCTTCATTCTTTTCTCACAGCCTCATATTCCCCCTACCATTCCATAAACGCTTCTTCATTATTCTATTAATGTCACCATCAGTATTATCTAAAATATATATTTTAAAGACCTCCTTGCTAAATATCTGATCTCTCCACAAAGAAGAAAATATAGTTTTCTTTATGTATGCCAGTTGGCATAAGGAGATAGCTAGTCAAAAATAACTTTATTTCATGTATTTATTTATATTTATCTTTATTGTTGAAAGTATTACAGATATGCCCCATTTTTTAGCCCATTGACCTCCTTCATCCCTCCTTTCCCTCCCCCACAACAGGCCTTTACCACACTATTGCTAGAAAGGATTTGGAGAAAAGGGAATCCTCATGCACTGCTGGTAGGAATGCAAAGTGGACCAGCCATAATGGAAAATAGTGTTGATTTTCCTCAGAAAATTAAATATGGAACTGCCATTTAACTCAGTGATCCCACTTCTAGGAATCTATCCCAAGAATCCTGAAACACCAATTAGAAAGAATGTATGCACCCATATGTTCATAACAGCACTATTTACAATAGCTAAGATCTAGAAACAGCCCAAGTGCCCATCAGTAGATGAGTGGATAAAAAAGCTGTTGTACATTTACACCATGGATTACTATGCAGCAGTGAAAAAGGATCTCTTACCCTTTGAGACAGCATGGAGGGACCTGGAGATTGTTATGCTAAGTGAAGTAAGCCAATCAGAGAAAGAAAAGTATCACATGATCTCACTTATATGTGGAATCTAATGAAAAAAATAAACTGCCAACAAAGTAGATCCAGAGACAGAAGCATGGAACAGACTGATGAATCTCAGAGGGAAGTGGGGGAGGGTGTGGGAAAAGATTAACCAAATAACTTATATGAATATATGCATAACTCAAAAGTTAAGCTCAAAAGATATCAGATAGAAATCATTTTAGCTAATTAAAGCACACCAAAGAAAGTTATTGTATGAGGACTAAAAGCTAATGAAAAAATATATATATATATAATCAGTAATATTCAGTTGGTCTTATAATCCAGACCCTTCCTTTCTTCTTTCTAAATATGTTTCTATTTTCATGACTAGAAGGCATGACAAAATCCATTGGGTGGCAGTAAACTCCATTCCATTGATCACTAATAATAAGATTCTCCTGTTCTGAGTGACTTGCTGACAAAATATAATATCAGTTCCATTGTGGCAGCAGCATTGACCATGCAGAGATCTAAATGATGAGCAAAGCTATACAACTGTTAAGTGAGTTGAATATAGGCTAAACTCTTCTGCTTTTATTTTCAGAAATTTCTAATCATATTTTTAAAAATTTTATAGACTTAACATGGTTGTAAAAAAGGTAGATAGGGTTCAGTGCTAAATGTCTCATTTAAATTAAATGAATGGAAAGAGTGACTGTTACTATAATCAGTATCAGCAAGTGAACTAAAAGGCTCTCGTGTTCAGAGAGGAGCAAATGCAGTGAAAAGTGCAATACCACAGAGATCGCCTTCATCAGACCCGTCCAGGCAATCCCTTCTCCCATTGCAGAGCTTCTCTGGCTGCAGGCAGACTGAAGTGTCGTTAGCACAAGGGTACTTGGGTGGTCCACACAAGAAACTGTCACAGTCGTCTTCATCGGACTGATCTTCACAATCAATATCTCCATCACATACCCATGCTTTGTTGATGCATCTCCCTTAAGAAAATAGAAAGAGCATGCATTTATTTTTTTGTAATTAAATCACCGTAATAATGAGTGGTCATCACTGTCTTCTGTCAGAACCAGAACTACTTGCCATTAGCAACAAATGTATTTACTGACAGCATCACAGTTTATTGGCATGCCATTTTAATGGTTCTTGTCCTGGTTACTAAAGTGGCTCTTAGTGTTAAATCCTTGATATTTTATTTAGTTTCAAGTTACTGGTCTACCTTATTTAAATAATCCTGTGATGAACTGAAAGTTTAATTACAGTCTTTAAAGGTATATTTGTATATACGTACTTCTCCAAACTTTAAATTTAGGTAAATGCTATCAGTATCTTTTAGAATTCTAAATTTAAGTAAATACTTTATTTTTGCAAGAGAAATGTCATTCTACTGACATTTCTAACCTCAACATCTAAACTTCTCACACCCAGACTTATGTACATGTCTTTTCATAAAAGAACTAGAGGCCCGTTGCATGAAGAGATTCATGCGATAGGCCTTCTTTCCCCTGGCTGCCGGCACCGGTTTTCCTCCAGCACCCGGGACCCACGCCTTTGCTCCAGCCACAGCGGAGAAGCCAAACTTCTTCAGTCTTCAGTCCTCTTCAGTCTTCAGTCTTCGCTCCGTGCCTGCGTATGCAAATTAACCGCCATCTTTGTTGGGTTAATTTGCATAGTCATTCTGATTGGCTGGTGGGCATAGTGGAGTGACACCAATTTGCATGTTTTTCTTTTATTAGTGTAGATATACAGTGTTATTAAATATATTCATAGTTAAGGTATAATACAGACCAGATTTATGGAAATGGTTATTTATAGACTTGAAGAAAAAAAAGTGATTACTATTTAGCCAGCATGTTTCAAAGTAACAATGTGAAGTGCATAGAAAACAATGGTCATTGTCTAGGTAAATCTTTTTTTCACTGCAAATTATTCCTTGTTTGCATTTTTCATCTAAATTATTATTTTTCTGGATTATCCACAGTTAAGGTGTTATGTGAATAAAATAATGTACCATAAGATAAATAGTAGTTAATGACTAAATACATATCAATATCTCATAAAATGACTGGGGCAAACAAAAAAAAAATGAAATATATTAGAATGTACATGTCCAAGAGTCATCCTCTATAAATGTCTTCTTAAATCTTATAGGCTGCTAAATTTTAAGTAAAATACTGATGAAAAGATATTTCATTTATATAAATATATTAATAATGTTTCATACTATTATAAGTCAATTAAGAAGAAAACAGAAATGATCAGTCCCATAATTAATATAAATTCATTTGATAATATTCAACATTATTAATCTACTCTTAAGATGGATACTTCACAAATAATAAATGTGATATAAATGGAGAAATAGCATATGCTCTTGCATCCACATTATAAATAAAATGAGTAATATTATTATTTTATATCATTCTTGAAGTACGGTCTAATGGAGCAATTAGGAAATACAAAAAAAATGAGGTGTACAATTAGAAAAGAGTATCACTACCTGTAGGTAATATAATCATGTAAGTATAAAATCAATAAAAGTTAAATAAGGACTATAAGGAACTAAGGATTCTAAAAATAGGTAGGTAGTTTCAAAATTTATACAAAAATTAATAAATTTCATATATACAAAATGAATATAGTAGAAGAAAAAACAATTAAAAAATCTACTATAAAACAAAGTATAACTACCCAAAATACTGTAGAATTTGCATAAAGAAAATTTAAATGCCTACCAAAACAACAACAAAAGAAGTTTCTTTGGTCTTAAAGAACAAGACATCACTGTAAAAATATTATTTTCCCAAAGTTAATATGATTCCAAACACAATAGTAACAATATTATTACAATCCTATCAGGTTATCATAAACTTAAGAAAATGAAACTAAAAATATCTTTAAGTCAAAAAAATACAAAATATTTATGAATAGCAACTGGATATTGGAAATATTTAGCAGTGTTTTGAAGAAGCAGTAGTTAAAATATTTCATAACAGAGTATCAATAAACATAGCAATAAACAGCACAGAGACACAAAAATCCTCATCCTATATAAAAGTCTAATATGCTAAGTGTCCAGTCATACAGTCGGCCATTCAACCAATCAAAGCATAATATGCTAATGATATGCTAAGGGCACTCAACCGCTCACTATGATGTGCACTGACCACCAGGTGGCAGACAGTTGAACAGTCACTATGGGGAAGAGTCACAATCTATCTACACTAATAAAAGAGAAACATGGTAATTAGCGTACAACCGCTACCCTTCCCATTGGCTAATTAGCATATCCTTATGCAAATTAACTGTCAGCCAAGATGGCGGCCGGCAGCCATGCACTGAAGCAAACAGGGAGGCTTGCTTGCTCCAGTGATGGCGAACTCCAACGTTCCCCACCTGACTTGCCGGCCTCTCAGCTGCAACTCTAAGCAACTATGTTGCAAATATAGAAGCTAAACAAAACCCCAGAAACAGGCTTTCAGTCAGCCGGGCTTCAGCCAGCCTGACCGCAACATTGTATCATATACAGAAGGTAAACAAAGGCCAGAAACCGGCTTTCAGCAGCTGAGGCCTCAGAGCTAAAGCTGGCCCAGAATAGAAAAAAGAAAAAAAAAAGGAGCAGTTGGGAGCTTCAGTCACCCGCCAGCCTGAAAACGGCCCTCAGCCCCTCACCCAGACTGGCCAGGCACCCCAGTGGGGACCCCCACCCTGATCCAGGACACGCTTCAGGGCAAACCAGCCAGCCCCCACCCATGCACCAGGCCTCTATTCTATATAGTAAAAGGGTAATATGCCTCCCGGCATCAGGATCAGCGGAGCAGCGAGGCTCCCGGCACCGGGATCAGCATGACAGGGGGCAGCGCCCAAACCTCCTGATCGCCCTGCGGCTCTGTGAGTGACAGGGGGCGGGCCACAACCTTCCCTATCCACCCTGCTCTGTTCATGACAGGGGAAGGCGCCCCAACCCCCCTGATCAGCCCTGCTCTGTGACTGAATAGGGGGGAAGCTCCCCAATTCCCCTGATCACCCCTGCAGCTCTGTGTTTGAACAGGGTGCGGCGGCACCAACCCCCTGA